CAGCAAAGGAGTGAAGAACAACAACCGGACCTATATGCAGTTTGTAAAATGTAGAACATAAAGAAAATTATGCAGTCTCCCGAACCAGACGTGGCGCAGCTATTATAATGACATTTGCGATCATCGCCTTCGGACCTGTCAGTTAGACGTGGAAGGGCAAAGCGGTCACACCTCTATTGTGGCAAACAAAGGCTCAGGCAAGTGTTTCTATGGGGTGCCAAACGTCGAAAAACAGAAGGCTATGTGCCAGCTGAGAGGAGTCTTCGTGCCCAGGGTCGTGTGGTTCTCACCCCCCCCCCCCCCCCCCCTCCGCCTATGCCCTCGACCTAAGACATTCTGACGTTATCGGGTCACAAGCTGGGCATGTTGCATCACGCGCAGTGCGATGCATCACGGGTCGCTCTTGTCCCGGTCGGATTGGTGCATCTATTCTCTCTTCAAGGCAAAGGGTTCTCGTGCCTTCCAGCGAGCCATAACGTCACGTCCGTTTTCGACCACGCGGGCAAAAAAACAGATCAGGCTTGAGGTTTGTCTTGACATGACATGTGGCTGTGGCTCTCATCGGAGAAAACTGATTTGATGAAGGCCCCAAAAGTAACGTTTGACTCTCATAGAAGCACACTTCACTCCACAACGGTGCCTACCTCCGCCCGACCCCCACGAAATGGTGATAGCAGAGGATATGTGACGAGCGCCATGAGGCCGCGAGCTATCTGCCGGCTTCCAAGGTATAGCAGGTGATGCATGATGATGATGCACCTAGCCCCAGGCTCCCCTACACATTTACGCTGAAGACCACCCGTGGACAGAAAAGTCGAAACCAGACACGACGTCACGGCGACAGGAGACAGTCCAAACTTTTCATATCTTATAACGGAATCGGATGATAGCAAAGCTCAGCCTGTGGCTGTCAGCTTCTTGGGCTTAATTACCCGAACGAACTTCAGAGCATCGTCAATTATGGCTGTTTCAGTGAACTAACGCCTAATTTATATGACGGTTTCACGGGGCTCTTATGACAGACCCTGGCACGCGAAGCGCAAGGAAGCGGAGGTGACGTCATCGAAACGCGGTGACGTCCCAACTGTTCCCGTTGAGTTATGTCACTAGCGCGTGTAGAGGCACGTGGCACACAGAAGACGCAGTGCCGTCACACTTGGGACACTCAAACTACCGTCCCGTAGAAGCCATGTGCACTGAGCAGTCAGCGGAACTAATGGCGCGGTAAATCCGAGGAGCTGCTGGTGTGCACGGCATTGGCCCCCTCCCACGCGCGGTAGTCCGCGCACCCAGCCGTGTGTGCAGACCGGCGGACAAGAGGCAGTTGTCACGGCATCGCCGCGTACAGTTCGGCTGCACTTAGAAAAGCATGTTTATCCCGAACCAGCACATAATTGTTACGACAATTACGACAATTATAATTACAATAGCTGACCTAAAGTTCGGAAGGCCGCCCAGCTCCTAAGCCGCAGTCTTGCATCCTCGAAATTGTTTGCGTTTTATTCCGTCGCACATTTGCTGGAATCAGCAGCCGGCGTGGGAGAGAAAACAAGGGGGTTTTCCTAGTAGTGGGAGAATCAGTGCCTACCCAGCGCTTCTTCTCCATCTATAGCCAAATGTGACACCCTGGGACACTGGGTGACGTGGGAATTAGAATGAAGACGCTCTATCAACAATCGTTCAAAATAAATGTTCATTATTTTACAAACACCCAGCCCCGCAGTACCATTGTATCATATAATTGCGAGACCACAAGCGGCCCTCATGTGAGGGCCCGGCCCGCGCGCCTTGGCTCGGCTCTGGTCGAAGCCACAAGCGGCCCCCATGTGAGGGCCCGGCCCGCGCGCCTTGGCTCGGCTCTGGTCGAAGCCACAAGCGGCCCCCCATGTGAGGGCCCGGCCCGCGCGCCTTGGCTCGGTTGTGGTCGAAGCCACAAGCGGCCCCCATGTGAGGGCCTGGCCCGAGCGCCTTGGCTCGGCTCTGGTCGAAGCCACAAGCGGCCC